GTCTTCACGACCATGTTGTCGATGTAAACTTCCACCGTTCGGCCAATCAGGTGTCTGAATATCTTGGTTACTAATCTTTGGTAAGTTGCTCCTGCATTTTTCAACCCAAAGGGCATCACTCTGTAACAATACAGCCCTTTTGGGGTGATAAACGCGGTCTTCTCTTCATCTGGGGGGTACATGGCTATCTGGTGATACCCCTTGTAGGCATCCAGGAAGCTCATCCTTCCATGCCCTGAAGTGCCATCCACCAGCTGGTCAATCTTGGGTAAAGAAAAGCTGTCTTTCGGACAGGCCTTGTTCAGGCTAGTAAAGTCCACACAGACCCTCTATTTGCCATTCTTTTCCTTCACCACCACTGTGTTTGATAGCCATGTCGAGTAATTTACCTCTCGAATGGCCCTAGCCTCCAGAAGTCTGTCTACTTCCTCTTCCACTGCTTCGACGTGTATCAACGTCGGTCTTCTTGCTCGTTGGATTACGAGTTTTGCTAACCTATCAACGTTCAGTTTATGGCAAGTGACCTCGGGGTCAATGCCAGGCATTTCGTAAGGTTTCCAAGCAAACACCTCAATATTTGCTCTCAAAAAAACTTCAAACTCTTTTTTCTCTTCTTCGGCTAAGCCCGAGCCGAGAAGGAAGAAGCGTTCTTCATCCCCTCTTGGACGAGGATTTTCTTCAGTGCTTCTTCACTCTTCTCGGCTGGCTCCTTGCCGACATCCTCTAGGACCTCCACGTCCTCGCCTTCGATCTCTGCCTTCTCTGGTTCTTGTATGCTGCAAGTGGATTTCATTATTGTCATGGAGCAATTCTTTGCCTGCAGCTGATCTCCTCTGATCTCCTTTATCCCATCTTCTGTTGGGAACTGCAATAGTTGATGCAATGTTAAGGGAACAGCCCCCATCGCATGCAACCACGGCCTTTCCAAGATGATATTGTAAGGGGAGGGTATGTCGATTACGGTGAACTCTGTCTTTATCCTCTTGGTGCCAGCCTGTACCTCCAAGCTCGTCGTTTCCAGTGGCCATGCCGGCGTTCCATTGAACCCAACTATTGGGCTATTGGATTGCTCCATATCGTCTAGATGAAGGCCAAGCTCCTTGTAACATCTGACGTACATGATGTCACAAAAGCTGCCTTGGTCGATTAAGATGCGCTTCACTTGGCATTCCCCAACCTGGAGGGATACTACCAAGGCATCGTTATGTGGATGTTGCACCATCTCAAGATTGGCTTCAGTGAAGGACACTACTAGTCCTTGGCACTCCTCTGCCCAATGTCTCTTCTCCCCGACTTGGTAGACATGTTGTAGGTGTTTTACCTTCTAGGTCTCCCCTCGAATCTTGTTTTCATTGACCTTCGAGTGAATTACATTAATTACCCGAGGTCCTCCTGCTTGAGGTTGCTGTGCTGGGGGATGTGGAGCTGTTGTCGCCTGAGGTAATCTTGCATGTTCTTCCCTTGTCTTTATCTCATCGACAAGGTCTCTCAGATGGCCTTGCCTTACTAAGTCTTCTAAGTGTGTTTTCAGGGCTCTATAACCCTGAGTCATGTGCCCATCTTCATTGTGGTAAGCACAATGTCTGCCAAGGTTTTTCCCCATAAACTCTCCTGGTGCCCTTGCTGGTGCTCTTAAATAGGGTTGGTTCCGAATTTTGTCCAGGACTTTGTGAATTGGGATTCAGAACACAATCGTAACTGCCTGTGTAGCCCTCAGTCCTATCTTTTGCTTGCTGGATCCGTTGTTACCTCGGCCTCGCTTCGGCGAGCCGTTTCCTTTTTCTTGCTTTGTCTCCTTAGTCCCCAACGTGTCTTCCTCGGCTCTAGCATACTTCTCGATTCTAGCCATGAGCTCTTCCATGCTTTTTGGCAATGTCTTTACCAAAGATGTTCATAGTGGACAATCGTTTTTTAGGCCGTTTTTGAAAGATACGACCGCCACTTCTTGATTATACTCTGGTATTTGATTGAACACCTCATAGTACCTTTTTGCATAGGCCCTAAGGCCTTCTTCCTTACTGATCTTCAGAGCCATCAATGCGTCCATTCTTAATGGCTGCAGCTTGTTTGTTACGAACCTGGCCACAAACATCTCGGCTAGGCCTTCCCAGGTCTTCACACTTCCCTTTTGTAGTTTGTGAAACCAATCTGATGCAATCTCCCCGAAGGATGAGGGGAACACTTTGCAGAGCAACGACTCGTTCCCACTATACAATGCCATTGAGTTCAAGTATAATCCAACGTGGAAGTTGGGGTCTGACTTACCATCATATATTTGGAACCTCGGCATACTGAATCTCTTAAGCGCCTCAAATTTGTCCAATTCTACTGAGAATGGTGTTCTCGGCTTAACAGGTGAAGTTACTTTGGCATCGGTATTATGTTGTTTCCTCTTGAGGTAGTCTCTCATGTCTTCCTTGCTCCGCCCAGGAGCTCGGCTATCTCTCGACTTCAGTCTTTTCGGCATACTACTTTCACCTTTGTTGTGGGCTCTTTTCGACCTTTCTCCATGAGTTGTATCGAAGCACAACTCTTGCCTTTGAACATGCCGATGTTCTTTGGGGTCTGTTTCTTTAGTTCGATGTGTCCTTCGTGACTCTTCTTTTCTTTGACTCTCCTCAGCCGACCTCCTTGGAAGGCCGATGAGAGTGTTTTTCGCTTCTGGTGTGCTGAGGGGCTATTGGGATTGGCTTCTGCCCTCTCTTCTGGGCATTAGCCACTAGAATCGGCGTGTCCTGCTGCGAGTATGGTGGCTGCATGACATTATTTTGCATCATAAAATTGACGACCGATTGCAGGTTTGCCAACTTGTTTACCATCTCTTTCACCTCTTCGTCCCTCCGCAGGCATCTATTCTTCCATACTTGGAGGTCGTACTCGTTGTAGTATCCGCTTCGATCTGGTTTCTTTGGCACGTCGCCATCCTGGCCGACGTCTTTCTTGTCGTGATTCTGGTTCTAAGTCTGCTCATTCCGACCATCTTCTTCCACGTTTGAGTCAACGTGTTTTCCACTCCTAGTAGGGATTTCGTCCCCAAGCTTATCCTTTTATCCGTCGCTGGCCATCTATTCTCCTTTCTTTCCCACAGACGGCGCCAAATTGCGTAAGTGATTTTCCGATCACACTACCAACTCAATATTCAACTGAAGAGCACTTGCAGAATATATGACACTTGGCTGACCTGCAACAGAAAGAGTAGATTGCGGCGGTGGTTCGTCCACCTGGGGACACTCCGACGATCAAGTCAGTATATCTCTCAAAGATAATCAATAGTGCTAAACTCACTATTCAGAATATAAATTGTGTACCTTAGACCCATCGGGGGTGCCTTTCTTTTATAGTTCACTCAATCCTAGTCCCCATAGAAGCCTAGCTTCAATGGACTTCTGCTTAGTGCTTAACCTGGACTCTCCAAGAGATAAAGATAAACTCCCTAAGAGTGTTATCCTTATCCATGCTAAAGTCCTTCCTCATTCTAGGATTCTTGTGCCTTATCCGCTTATCTTGGATTCCGATATCTTCGGAAATAACCTCGGCCTAACCGAGATCATCTCGGTGTCATAACCTGGACACGTGGCACCTCGGCTTACACGTCAGCATCACCTTAGCCACGTGTTGGGACTCAGAAAATGTATCCCCACAATAAATATCGATATTTAGGCCTCGTTTGGCAAGTGGCTGTTTTAGCCTAAAAGCCAAAAAGTTACTAAAAAAATCAAAAAGCCAACAACATATACTAAAAAGTCAAAATTTCTATTTTCTCTCTATTTTTTGCACATTTTTTCGTAAAAAGTTAAAAAGTCATCCCAAACATACTAGTTTTTCTCACCTCATATTTTAGCCAAATAGCCAAAAAGTTACTAAAATAACCTATTCCCAAACGAGGTCTTAGGTACTAGTTATTAAAATAGTCTAACACATTTTCAATCAAATATACAATAAAAAACTTAGGCTTATGGGTTAGAGTTAAGTTGTTTTATATATATTTAGTTTAATTTATTTTTAGTTCTAAAATTTTTTAATATAAAACAATTAAAAAATATAAAAATTAAAAATGATCTATAGTGGTGATCAAATTAAGAAAATGGTTTTCGGATTTGTAAAATGTTTAATTGTTTTGAGATCACTAACAAAATGGTATTGTATAAAGTCAAATGGAGAAGAAAAATTCATGCAATTGATCTCCTTTAATGAGACTTAAGGCTTGAGTTGGTTTGGTTTGGTAAGGTAAATAGTAGGGCTGAGCAAGTAATCCGTGAAATCCGTAATCCGATCCAGTCCAGTCCAATCCGATAGGTTTGGATTGGTTTTTTGAATCCGCGGTTCGGTTTCGGATTGAATAATTAAAAATCCGTAGTCTACGGATTGGTTCCGGATTGAACCCCACGGTTCCGGATTGGAACCGATCCGGACCGTATATAAATAGTCTATATTTTTATTATACATCCTCCCCCATAGTATCTTCTCTTAATTCTATATAAAATCTAAACTCAAACCTAAAACCGTATAATATATTCTTTTATTACTTTTGTTTGTTGTTTTTTAGTTTTAATTTGTAATGGTTTAAATACTTATAGTGAAACCAGTTTTCTTATGGTTATTTAAATTTTAGAACAGTATGTCGCTATTATAGAAAAATATGTTGTTATTGTGGAACTAACATAGCGCTATGTTTAAATTTTTATAAAATTAAAGTGTTATATATATATTTTTGTTATTTAATTATGTGAATCCGTTGATGCAGTGCCATTTTTGCACAATCCCAACCAATTTTTTAAGTAATTTTTTGTTTCTGTTTTTGTTTTGTTTAATTTTTTTTTTTTTTGTTTTGTTTTTTTTTTTTGTTTTTTTTTGTTTTTTTTTTTTTTTTTTTTTTTACAACTTACTTGGTGCTCCATTTTTTTTTTTTTTTTTTTTTTGAACAATTCTAATATTTTCCTTTAACCTCTAATAAAATGAAATAAAATAAAATAAAATAAAAAAATAGAGCAAAATAATGAAAAGTGAGAAGTGAGGTACAGTTATGGAATGGGAATGCTCAAAGCTCCCAAGCATTTTTCTACCTAGTGTATGTATACAATACAAAAATGGGTTGCCCTTCTGGTTCCCATATATGTTATGTAAGACTGTAAAGTGTGAGGCTTTTAACTTTCAATGGGGGCTTTTGAAATCTTTTAAGGCTCTTTATTAGATTCTATGTGTTCTGATTTGAATTTTTTTTTTCTTTCTGAGGCTTAAATCTGTGTCTGAATTTTAGGGTTTTGTTAAATCTTTGGAGGTCTACTACTGGAAGGGTAAATTTCTGGGCGTTTGCAGCTAAGCCAGAGTACAATCAGGTACATTTACTTACCCACTGGTTTTCTCTTGATTTCTACTTCTGGGTCCTTTGTTTTGTGATGTTTTGCTTTGCTAAGTGGGTTGGGTTCTCTGAGTTTATGCTTAACTGGTAATGTCCTTCTGTATTTTTTATTTATTTTTTCTTCCCTATTTCTTCTTGAGGGTTTTCTTGCATTTCTTTTCCTTGCTCTGAAGAATGGACTAAAAATGTTTCTTTCTTTTTTTTATTTTTATTTTTATTTTTAATTTCATTGGTTTTTGTGTTAGGGCTTTGAAAAATGATAGATCAGCAATAGACATCATTTAGATTCTTCATTTGATTTCAATTTTATCCAAGCTTCTATTGTTTTCTCTCAAACATTCACACACATAAATCTTTCTTCTTTGTTTTTTTTCACCTTGCTCAACTGCATTAGGTTTGTTGACTTGCACTGTTGGAGCTCAAACTGTGTTTTATCTACGGTTATTACAATAATCACCGCATGACTGATTTTCCGTGCCCCACCAAGTACTCCTAAATATTCAGAAGTACATTAGTTTGTGGTTCAGCTTCATTTTGTTTGGTGTCTTGTTGCATAATTTGGAGCTTTAATTTATATCTTTGTTTGATTCAGCATCTTATGGCATTTTGTATGTGTTTGATGTAGCTTTGGCGATACCAATTCAAACGGTAGTGAATGTTCAGGAGTTAACGTTGAGGTTGGAGGTTTCTTGGAGTGAATGATGCCTCAAATATGCATTGGAAGTGTTGTCCTCATCCTTTTAATTAACATGTTTTGCAATGCTGCTTCTGGTGCATTCGTAGGAATAAACGTAGGCACTGATGTTTCCAACCTGCCAGCAGCTTCAGATGTGGTTGCAATTTTGAAAGCCAATCAGATAACTCATGTCCGCCTTTTTGATGCCGATGCTCACTTGTTGAATTCTCTTTCAAACACTGGGATTGAGGTTATGGTTGGTGTTACTAACGAGGAAGTCTTAGGGATTGGAGAATCTTCATCATCAGCAGCAGCGTGGGTTAATAAAAATGTTGCAGCTTACTTGCCTTCAACCAATATCACTGCCATTGCTGTTGGCAGTGAGGTCCTTACTTCAATCCCAAATGCTGCCCCCATTTTGGTTCCTGCCATGAATTACCTCCATAAAGCCCTAGTTGCTGCAAACCTAAATTACCAGATCAAAGTTTCGACCCCACAATCAATGGATATAATCTCTAAGCCATTTCCCCCATCAACTGCCACCTTCAATTCCACGTGGAACTCTACAATTTTCCAAATCCTTCAGTTTTTACTAAACACAAATTCCTATTACATGCTAAATGCTTATCCTTACTATGGATACATTAATGCCAATGGCATATTTCCAATTGATTATGCTCTTTTTCAACCACTTTCCTCGGTCAAACAAATTGTTGATCCAAACACTCTTTTTCACTATGACAGCATGCTTGAGGCTATGGTGGATGCCACCTATAACTCTATAGCAGGCTATAATTTTTCAGCGATTCCAATCGTTGTGACTGAATCTGGTTGGCCATGGCTTGGGGGAACCAATGAACCTGATGCTACTATAGAGAATGCTGAAACCTTTAATAATAACTTGATCCAGCGTGTTTTAAATGGTTCAGGTCCACCTAGTCAGCCCACTATTCCCATCAATACGTACATTTATGAGTTGCTCAATGAAGACAAGAGGCGTGGGCCTGTCTCGGAGAGAAACTGGGGCCTCTTTTTCGTCAATGGGAGTGCTGTTTACTCTCTGAGTTTGAGTACTTCTGAGCGAATCGCTGGAAATTCTTCATCAGCTTTTTGTATTGCAAAACAAGGTGTAGATTCCAGTAAGTTGCAAAACGGACTGAATTGGGCTTGTGGGCAAGGTCATGCCAACTGCAGTGCTATTCAACCAGGAAAGCCTTGTTATTACCCTGATAACATACAAAACCATGCTTCTTATGCTTACAATGATTATTATCAAAAACTTCATAGCGTTGGTGGAACCTGTGACTTTGATGGTACAGCCACCACCACTACTGCTGATCCCAGTAAGTTCTTATGCCCATTTCTTAAACTGATACTGTTTGTTATTCAGAGCTGTGTTTGTTCTTTTTCTTATATGCTTTCTAAGGAAACATCTCAGTAGAAATTGTCTTCAAACAGTGCAGCAAACAATGGTTGTTTGATTAAGGTAATACAATTATTAACATATGGTTTATTTAATAATGTTAAAGGCTCCTGGAATTTCTCTGGTTTGGAAAGGTACTCATCTGATTCACACATGCAAGCCTTGAAGCAAGAAACTTATGCAGGTTTCTTGTGTGAATGTTGTAAGCCAGTAACAAGCAGCTTACAGCATGCTTGATTTTGCATTTGACAGGAAATGGTGTGCTATAAATTCAAGTGAAAAAATAAATAAACCTAACTGCAATGTTTTGAGCGATTAATGGTAGTACTTAGTTGTATATCTTAGACACCTTCTTCTTATGAAAGTGTTGTGTTTCTCATACAAGAATAAGTGTGCAAAAGAATAATTAAAGGAATGAATATGCCCTCATTTGCTGTCTTTTCTGTCCAATGTTCTCACATGAACTTTGCTTTCCTGTAAAAATTGTTTAAGAAAGTTTTCATTCACACTTATATAAATCAACTAGATTTTAGTGCCTGCAAATGCAAATTGTGAGGGAAATTGAGTTACAATGTCAATAATGATTGATGTGTACGATAGCTGTAACATGTTTTAGTTTGGGCTCTGCCTGAAAATTGATGCATGCTTCCTTGAGGAACCACTACAAAATGTAGGCTCGAAGAAAATTGCTACTCAATTTTGGTGCTTTTGAAATCTAACCTGGACCTACGAGGACATGAACTTTATTGTTGGAAGCATTGATTCACATCTCTGCATAAAGGATGGCCTTTATTCTGTGCTTCTTTGGTGATTACAAACCTAAGGTGAAGTTAAATTTTTCTCTCCATTGAGGAAAAGAGGTTCATGTTTCTGCCATTATGATCTTTTATGAATCACTTCAAAAACTTTGATAAAATTATTTAAAAAATTCTCATTTGTTTTTCATTGATTTTCTTCTTGAAAATGTAACTTATTGGTAGCACTCAAAAAACAGTGTCATGTTTATATTTTCTTTTCAGATAATCAGAACTTGCCATGTTGAAGGTGACATGACTCCATGAATAAAACATGTAACACATTGCATCACCCTTTCTCGTGAATCCATCCGATTTATCAGTTTAAATGTACTATGGGATGTGTCGAATCTTGTTCCTCCCATTTCTATGTATTTAATATTTGACATGCAGCTATTCTTTTATTTTAGTTGCCTCATTCATGTAGTGATATTTCTACTTCGCTCCACAAATGATGAATTAAGTCTGTGTCGTTACATTCTTTAATTCCCCTGATTTTGTCTATTGGCGTGTGCCTTTTTGCAGGTCATGGATCTTGCATTTTTACCGGAAGGTAAGAGCTTCAAGCTGCATCTGATCCTAATTAGTTTGTCTTGGTCTGGCCTTTTAACATATAGTAATTATTTTTTTTGTTGTTTTTTTGGGGTACAGTTCAAATTCGAGTTCAAGTGGAGTAACCACGCCTACTGCTGCATTTGGACCTATTCCTCCTTTCACTGGAGAAAGTTCGAGGCTTCAAATTCCTGAGATTGGGTCATTGATTTTGGCAATATTTATTGCTTTGATATTTATCAGGTTGAGTAATTAGTCAGTGGATGGAAGCTGCAACATAATGAAATCATGGGAAATTCACAAGCTTTGACAGTGGCGTTGGATGATTCTTTTTCTTTAGTTAATTTTGATTATTTTCACTTATTCATCTCCTTCCTCTTCTCTCTTTTGCAAGCCAGCATGTTGATGTGTTGGGGCTAATTGTAATCTACACTCTTCAAGTAACATTCATTTTTGTTACTTAAAATGGATAACAGCCTTGGAGATGAAACCAGTATGTGGTAAATAGTGTATTTCACTAAGCAATTGTTATGAATATTTTCAATCTTGATAAGACATTAAATTTTGTTTTCATTTGATTAGAATTCAATGATGTATAACGCTTACTTTGAAGTAATATAATCTTGAATTGTTTGATGGTGACGAGTAATTGTTAAAAGAGAAGTTGATGTGTTGAGTTAGATCAAAATACAGCTGAATAAGGTCAATATAAGCTCACCCAACTCGCCAAATTGGTACTCAAGCTCGCCTGTGGACTAAAATAGTCAAGCTTTTGCCTAACTGGTCGGGCTGGGCTGGACTGCAGGCCAAACCAAATGGGCCTATTTTTTGTTTTTTCTTATTTTACTTCTATTTTTTCTTTCTACATTTTCTGCCAGGTTTGTGGGTCCAGTTGGGTCTACCCATAGCCATAAACCTTGGGTCTAAGCTTTATTTAATGGGCTTGGCCTAGACAGGCTAATGGAATGGCCCCTGGGCCAAGTCCAACAAGCTGTGATTCTACACTATTTCGGAATTTCTCTTTTTTACTTCTTATTTCACATATTTTTGCTCATTTTTGCATACTCCTAAGTCTGGTTGATGGGCAAGCTGCCTCTCACCGGTTAAGTGAGTCTCAATGCTCAGGTCTAGGCTCAGCCCAAGCCTTATTTGAGCTAGTTTAGCCCACTGAGAATATGGGTTTGGGCCAAATGACGGCGCGATAAACGAGTCAAGTAATGAAATGGACGAAAGTCATAGAAGGGAACTGAAATGGATTAGTTTCAATCAAATGGTTCGGTGAGACGAAATAATGTAAAATAAAATCACCAAAACAAGCCGAATCAAATTAATAGAATGGATTATTCCAAACTAAGGTCACATTTTGACTGATCATAAAATTTGGGCACATTCACGAGCTTCCCGATGATGAAAAACCAAAATGCGTCACTTTGATTTGGGCACATTCCCGAGCTTTCCGATGATGAAAAACCAAAATGCATCACTTTGATATCTTTAGAATAAGCCTTTGGATGGAGAGAATATCCTTCCTTAAACTTGTTTTGGCCAAAATACTTTCTAATTCCTTTAAAATGATTTTTTAAAAACAATTTTTGTAGGTAGAGATGTTATTTAAACCATCCCACTAAAGATGTTTATAAAAAAATCTTGTTCTTTCCAGAAAATAAGCAAAAACAAAGCTGGATTGAATGAAAATGAGCAGTTGAGCCGCAGCTTTTTTGTGGCTAGACATACTAAATCTTCCAATCGCATGGTTTTTGAATATTTCCATGGGCGCAACTTAAAGCTGCGGCTGCATGAAATAGGTGTGGCCGCACAAAATGTGCAGTATGAGATAGTTTCTAGAAGATGGTCTCCTCAGTATCTTGAAAGATACCATTTTGCACAATTCTCGAAGAATTACATGATGAGGCACGTTCTAGAGGCTAGGACGCCTATAAATACACCCATTTTGGGTAGAGATGAGAGCTCTCTTGATCCTTGATGCTTAGTTTCTCTCTCTCTCTCTCTCTCTCTCTCTCTGTCTCTCTCTCTCTCTCATATATATATATATATATATGAGAGGGTAATTTGTGAAGCTTGGGCCAAGCTAAGGCTGGGTAGAAAGTGGACCGAGCTGTGGGCCGAGGTGAGTGGGCTTCGCGTCTGGATCCTGTTAGCCCGGTCAAGAATGGTTGCAATTAAGCTCGGCTTGAGTATTTTGAATCGAGCTAGGTATTACTCATGAATGCACTAACCTGAGTGTATCCGAAGGCTAGTGATAGCTCGGTTGTTTTGTCGTACTACCGTGGTAAAACCATCTCACTTGGTTAAGCAGTGGGGGGGTGTAGAAAGATGAGCATTACCTTTCTGATTCCTAGGAGGACTCTACATTGGGGAATAAGAATCCTATTAGAATTGTGCCACACGGAATCTATAAAAGCTCATAGCAGGACCTATGTACAGGTATCACAACTTTGACTCTCGAATACACAGAGCTTTTGTCTATTGTCTATTGACTGACTTAGGCATCGGAGAGGTTTCCGGCACACACCCGTCGGCTAGCTCACGTTTGTGTTTTCAGGTATTAAAGCGACGACGTTTGGAGGAGTGCAAACTTAATCAACAGAATTATATGAGAAAATTATTTCGTACTCGTACAATTGGCGCCGTCTGTGGGAACACCACAGAGAACAAAACCTTTTGATCAAGTTTTTCGCTTTAGTTGAAATCAATGGTGCACAACAAAGATTTTTCGCAATCTGCTATTGATGGGCAAACCCCGGAGGGGGGCGGGAGGCGCGAAGGTTTGCCTTCTATCCCACCCATGGTAGAATTAGAGCCCCAGGGACGGAACTCCCGGAGGGACACACGGGAGAGACGGGGCGTCAGTCCTTGTCACTCTCAAAGTCCTGAAAAGTAGACGTGGAGGTTGGATCCTCAAGTTCTGGAGGATCGCGTGAGGGAACAAGACGAGTTAATACGAAGGATGGCGGCAGACATGGAAACGATGAAGAACCAGATAAAAGGCAAAGGGGTGGCAACAAAAGAGAGGCACAAAGGTAATACGCCCTCTTACCATTCAGAAGATCGTGGCAAACAAGCCACGCCATCCCAAGCTGAAAGTAGGAGCCTTAGAACGGGCGACACTCAATCAAGGACTTCCAGGACTCGTTACTTAAGGTCTGAGAGAACAAGGACTGAAGGGAAGCAGCTATCGGCCCTCGCACACGCACCAAATGACGTTTAGGCACACAGAGTTTCCTAGGTCAGCGGACCTACAAACAGTTCTCGAGAAAAGGGCCCGATGGAAGGAGGACACCAGAGCTCGTGACCCTCACAGAGTTTCAGCCCTACAGCGATTGGCCCCTAGGACATATGGGAGTGTCGAGGCAGGAATGTCAATACCACGCCTTACTTATGAACCAGCGGATAAAGTATTAGCAAGGTTACAGAGTTCGCCGTTCATTCCGATAATTGAGAACACACCACTGCCCTCAGGCTTCCACCAGCCGAAATTCACCACTTATGAGGGGAAGTCAGACCACTACATGCACTTAAGCCACTTTCACCAAGTTATGGTAGTATACCGGCAAAATGAGGCTCTAATGTGTATCTTGTTTCCATCCAGCCTTGGCGACCTAGGTTTAACCTGGTTCGAAAGGTTGTCAGAAGGCAGCATAGCCTCATGGGCACAGTTGACAGAAGCGTTCGAGACTAGATTCAGAACGAATACCAAGACACCAGTAGAGATCAACCAACTACTCTCCATTGACATGGGCGAAAATGAGACATTGAGGTCTTACAACAGTCAATATTAGGAGACTTTCAACCAGATTGCCCTACAAATCTTGATATCGCACAATACAAACGGGGTTTACCAGTCGATAACAAATTGAGGGACTCAATGACAATAATGCCACCCCTCACGATGGAAGCCCTAATGGAGAAAGTGCATCAACATATCCGGGTAGAGGAATATAACGCTCGTGTTAAAGTAAAATCTGGCACAACAGGGATGCCAGATAAAAAGACTACAACAAAAATCAACACGGTAAAACAACCAAGCCAAAATGGGTGAGGCAGACGAGCCAACAGAGAGGACCCAGAAAAAAGAAAGTTAAGAGTTCGCACTACCATTACTACAGTATTCAATAAACCAATCTACCGGATTCTTAGCGAGATACGTGATCAACCCTTCGTTCGACCACCAGCCAAGTTGGGAGAAGCACAAAAAGGTTATGATAAGAGGTCCTATTGCACCTTCCATGATGAGAAGGGGCACCGCACTAAAAATTGCACACCATTGAGGCAACATCTGGAGGAGTTAGTGGCTGCTGGACACCTGGACCAGTACATAGAAAGGGGGAACACAGCCAGCCCCCCAGGACCTCAACAGACCGAGCGGGATGCCGTTCGACGGCCCACCTCTAGGCGTGATCAATGCTAAACATGGGATTGTCGAACCTGAGCCGGTATGTGAGCTCAGAGGGATGATCAAAAAGGCTGAGCACTTGAGAGAGGTATTAATTGCACAACCTACCATCAAAAAGGCGAGAACAGAGGCTACAAACGTCATATCATTTTCAAACAGGGATCTAGCAAGGCTACATTGCCCTCATAATAATGCACTGGTGGTCACTTTGTGCGTCAATAATTTCGACATCAAGCAGATTCTGATTGACCAAGGAAGCTCATGCGAGATAATGTACTACGAGATCTTCAAACAACTGAAATTTGAGGACAAAGACTTGGCACCTGCGATATCTCCCCTTGTCGGTTTCAACTCAATGCCTGAGTGGCTAGTGGGCAAGATAATCCTGCCAGTCAAAGCAGGAACAATGACGAAATAGATGGAGTTTTGGGTTTTGAAAGTCCCTTCCACCTACAACATAATCTTAGGAAGGGCATGGCTACATGCCATGCGCTCAGTGGCGTCAACCTACCATCAGGCATTACGGTTCTCTAACGAAACCGGCATGATTGAAGAAGTCTTAGGAGACCAAATCATGTCGAAGTAATGTTTCATCACAGTAAATAGAAGCTGTGCTGCAAAAGGGTTCATTCAGATGGTGAAAGAACCAGAAAACAACGAACTATTTGCAGATGTCGGCAAAGCAGCAGAGCAGAAGGCAGTAGAAGACCTGGTTGAGGTAAGGATAGATGAAAAGAACCCAGAAAAGTTCTTTTTGCTCGGCTCGTCTTTGTCCAGCACTGAGAGAATAGAGGTCATGGAATTCTTAACCTCTAACATCAAAGTGTTTGCCTGGACACCATACGACATGCCTAGCATTGACCCAAATTTCATCTGCCATCAACTTAATGTCCACCCAACTGCCAGACCAATTATTTAGCAAACTCGCCGATCGACACTCCACCACGCAAAGATAGTGGCAGAAGAAGTAGGAAACCTGTTGGAGGCAGAAGCTATCAGAGAAGTACACTATCCCAGGTAAATCTCCAACACTGTAGTAGTGCCAAAAAAGAACGGCAAGTGGCGCGTTTGTGTGGACTACAAAACAGTCAACAAAGCATGCCCAAAAGACAGCTTTCCCCTACCACGGATAGACCAACTGCTAGACCTAACGACAGGGCATAATCGACTTAACTTCCTTAATGCGTATCGAGGTTACCATCAGATTGCTATGTATGAACCA